AATTTAAAACTTGTCTAAAAATCTCTCAACATCTTCGATCCGTCAAAGACAAAATTCGATTTCAGATGCTAGTAACCTATAAACAACCAAACAATCTTAACCGCGACTCAGAAGGAATCCCGAAGTTCTGTAAAAGGTATTATTTTGCTGTTTGGTTTTTCAGCGTTTTGTTTTTGACATATTATGCGTCAGAGTTGTTTAGTTTGTATTGATTCTACATTAATGAAAGTACTCACAAACAAACAACGCTTGTGAACCATTGAACTTTATTATTAAAATCGTTGTTTTCCAAAAAATTGGTTTCGTCCACTGCGACCATTTTATCATAATCGCCCTACTGGACAGACATAGTCACCAAATTTTGCATCGTTTTTTACGTTATTAGATATCAAACCACACTCTAGCGATGCGTAGAGAGGTCGGCAATTCATTTCGCGGTTTAGACCCTTGAATTGGCTGTCTGGATCCAACGATTTCATGCCATTCGACTATCTTTATACCAGCTCGAAAAAGTAACTCAAAATTTTTCAGATACTTTCACAGGCAACTGTAATAAATGTAATAAAATCGGCGCATGAGCAATCCAGAAGTTCTGTAAAAATGTATCTCAAAATTTTACTTCTGTTCACCTCATCCGTAAGAAGTAAATGGCAATTGCAATTTTTTTTAGTTGCCCAATAAAAAGCAATAAAAATTAACCCCTTACTATTAGGGCTAACATTCGAAAACCCACATCCATAAGCCAAAAAGCGTAGGCGTTGATGATCTTAAAGGAGAGATGATCGTTTCTGGTTCGCCGCCCAATCGGAAATTTAAATCTGGAAAGAAGCAAAATTTATCCGACAAAAACGCTCGCAAATGACGTCTTACGCGGAGGTACGAGACGCCCAAAGTCTTTCGAAATTTTCTTTCTAGCGATTTCAATATCTAAAAAGCATTTCTCGGCAAACTTCGATTAATTACTTTGATGAAGGACGGATCGGGAGAAGGTTCGGATATTTCCTTTGGGGGTAATTGATCGTTCATGGTGTCCTCGTTTAACAACGCGCCGGATAGAAGGAGCAATTTTAAAATTTTAATTCTTTACGAGAAGGCATTTATTACCTGCATTTCATGGAAGGGGCGTGTTTTTGGGTTAACGGAGAAACTTTCTCTTTGGCAGCTTTAAACAATAAGCAACTTCCGAATACTCGGAGTTGGGAAGCGCTCGAATTTATGCGGAATGCCCTCGACCTAACTTCAAGTGGGATCTTATGGTAATGTCGCGACATCAAAGCTCTCGAGCAATTGGCCACTCTGGCCGAAGGCTAAATTATGCTGATTCCGGAGCTACTTAATTAATATTACTCAAATTAATTAACAGTTTTGACAGGTCTATATGTCGATCATTTGCATTAACTGCGACTTAATATGTGCATATGCGTCAAGCCGATACCAGCGGGCAGTTACAGATGTCTGCTAGGGCAGGCATCGGTGTCGTAACGATAATTAGTAACAGGACGAGATTATTGGCTGAAATATGGAATGTCAATTACTTTCGCATACGCCGAAATGTACGCAGTTTCAAGAACAATATTGAGATGACATTAAATTTTCTACTTTCACGTAGAGTTACGTTTGACTCGAGTGGCACCAAATCTACTCAATTCTACATCAACAGCCTTACATATAAAGAATGACTTGAAGAAAGACAGCATCTAATAGAACCTGCAATTGTTAGTGGAGTTCAGAGTACTCCTCTTAGTGATTAATAGAAGGCTATAATGAAAACGAAACGCTGGGTTTAGTTTTGGTTAGTTAGTTAGTTAGTTAGTGTCTTCATTACATAGCTACGTTAATAGATCACGTACGCATGTTATGGAGTAATGGCGTTTCTAAGTCTTGGAATCATTCGCGGATATTATTACGATTCTATTCTTCTCTTTGTGTTTACGAAAAAGAGGTCCTAATATAAATTAGGCACCGACGTCAACTCTATGTATCATGAATCATTTTATCATAATGTTTCCATATCTAATAATAGTAACAATAATTTTGATTAATTGGCTTCCTAAGGCGTGTGTTAAATGTGCATACATAATTTGAAGATCAATTTATACCAAATAAACAAGAATATCCTGCACAATTAGGGCCTCAAAAGCTTCTTTTTATAAAAATATTTTTATTTTTTTAAGTGTGCCGGGTTGCTCCGTTGATAATATGTTAAGACATATGCTAGATATACCAAAAAACATTCAACTATTATTATATATTAATTATAGCGTAACCAGAACATTAAAAATAACCCCAATAAAGATGAAACCAATGACACGGCTCTGGAGAAGAGACTTCACTAAAAAGAGTTTTTTCTTTATTACTTCAGAAACTGTTTAAGACACTAAAATGAAATTTAGACCACAAATACCTTCGACTGGGTCATAAAAGTTAGTTTATAGTTCTTTTTGTATCATTGCTCTGGAAAGGTTCCTCAAAACCTCAAAAAATTCTAAAACCAGTGATGAAGGTCAGCCAGAAACGGTTTAAGATGCAAAAATTGAATTTCAACCAAAAAACCCCTTGGGAGATATGTAATGACAAAATTGTTTTTTTTCACTTTACTTTTTTTTTCGTTTTTTGTTTTTGTATTTGTAAGTTTATTACACTTTGTCAGATTTATATTTTTTCTCAAATATTAGTCTTGCAATATTTTCATGCGCTTCTAGACTTTCATGCGCGACTAGACTAGACTCTTCTTCTTTTAGAGAGTGTTTGCAACGGTTACTATAATCGCGAGGGACACCTTTTTGTCACATTTTGGTACTTCTAAAATTGTTATTTTTGTTTGTTGGATAAATAAAGAGAGTTATTATTGTTATTATTATTATTAATATTATTGTTATTATTATCATTTATATTATTCGATTTTATCATAATGTTTCCATATCTAATAATAGTAACAATAATTTTGATTAATTGGCTTCCTAAGGCGTGTGTTAAATGTGCATATATAATTTGAAAATCAATTTATACCAAATAAACAAGAATATACTGCACAATTAGGGCCTCAAAAGCTTCTTTTTATAAAAATATTTTTATTTTTTTAAGTGCGCCGGGTTGCTCCGTTGATATGTTAAGACATATGCTAGATATACCAAAAAAATATTCAACTATTATTATATATTAATTATAGCGTAACCAGAACATTAAAAATAACCCTAATAAAGATGCAACCAATGATACGGCTCTGGAGAAGAGACTTCAATAAAAAGAGTTTTTTCTTTATTACTTCAGAAACTGTTTAAGACACTAAAATGAAATTTAGGCCACAAATACCTTCGACTGGGTCATAAAAGTTAGTTTATAGTTCTTTTTGTATCATTGCTCTGGAAAGGTTCCTCAAAACCTCAAAAAATTCTAAAACCAGTGATGAAGGTCATCCAGAAACGGTTTAAGATGCAAAAATTAAATTTCAACCAAAAAACCCCTTGGGAGTTATGTAATGACAAACTGGTATTTAGTCACTTTACTTTTTTTTTCGTTTTTTGTTTTTGTATTTGTAAGTTTATTGCACTTCTTCAGATTTATATTTTTTCTCAAATATTAATCTTGCAATATTTTCGTGCTCATCTAGACTTCCAGGCTATTTCAGAACTTGATACAATTTTATATAGGGTTTTTTTGCAAACATTCTTCTTTTAGAGAGACACCTTTTTGTCACATTTTGGTACTTCTGAAATTGTTATTTTTGTTTGTTGGATAAATAAAGAGAATTATTATTATTATTAAATTACTTTCGATTGGTTCACAAATGTTACCGATAATAGAATTTGCTTCCAAAATAATTGTTTTATCGTCGTTTTTGAAACAATCATTATTCTGGAATAGTTCCGAAAGCATTACTTGCTAAAACCCCAAACAACTTCAAAAGCAGTAATGCAGGGTTAGCCAGAAAATGTTTAAGAAACCAAAATGGAATTTAAACCACAAATACCTTCCACTGGATCATAGAAGTTACTGGTGATAGAATTTGTACCCAAAATAATTTGGAATACCTTACTTTACAGCTGGTTTTGAAATAATCATTATTCCGTAATAGTTCTGTCAGCATTACTAGCTAAAATCTCAAATAACTCTAAAAACAGTGATGCAGGGTCGGCCAGAAACTGTTTAAGATACAAAAATTAAATTAAAACCACAAATCCCCTTAAGACAGACTTCCATTTACTGATGTAATATGTAACGACGAAATATCCAAATAAAATATCCATTTTTTTCCACTTTTCTTTTTTTTTTTTCGTGTTTTGTTTTCATATTTCTTATGAAAGGAAGTTTATTGCAGTTTGTCTGGTGTATATTTTTTCGCAAGTATTGGCCCTGCAATATTCTCGTGCTCTTCTCGGCTTCCAAGCTATTTTTGAACTGGATATGATTTTGATTAACATGATTATAGTTGTTTTTGAAACAATCATTGTTCTGGAATAGTTCGGTCAGCATTACTAAAACCTAAAAGTAACTCCAAAACCAGTGACGCAGGGGCTGACTCATCTAGCCATGACAAACAGAATTGTTAATGGCAATTTACACTTAATTTATACCACAAATCCTCTTGAGACAGACTTCCATTTACTGATGTAATATTTAATGACAAAATATCCATTTTTTCACATTTTTCATTTTTTTTTGTTTTTATATTTCTTATTAAACCAAGTTCATTGCAGTTTGTCACATGTATATTTTTTCTCAAGTATTAGTATTAGAGGGGCTAATGAAATTGTGTTTTTTGTTTGTTATAATTATTATTGTTAATGTTGAATACCTTCGACTGGCTCGTCAAAGTTACTCATAGAAATTGCTTTCAAATGAATACTTCAGAGTTGATTTTGAGAAAATCATTATTCTGGAATAGTTGGCTCAAAAAATTAAAGTAATAACCAAAACTAACCACAGCTTAATCTTTTCGTGTCTATAATTTAACTACCTTTGAGATAGCCGGTATATTTATCCAGCTCTATCTATTACAGACGGCCTCTTGAGTTACTCGATGCCTCAGGGCGTACGTCGGGGGACGGATCTCGATCTGAGCGATCGCATTTACGACGGGACCGAAGACTCCGGGCAACTGTCCCACGGTCTCGGACAGCTGGTGGACGGCGAGAAAGGAAGGGACAATTTCAGGCTGGACTGGACGGGACGCGGAAAAGGTAAGAGTCTGGGCTCGGTCGTCCCGTGCAAAAATTTACATTTATATTGCTTTTTAAAACGATCTCGACGCCGGAATACGTCTAACTCCGGTTACGCTGCCGGAGTGACCGGTAGGGAAATTGAAGAAAAGTTCGGAAACGGTTGTAACCGCGGGAATGGAGTTAGTAACGAAAAGTTTCGCGACGATTGCTCCGGGTTAATTGTCTATTAAATTCGAATTTAAATCATCGTCATCTAACCCCTGGAATTACTTAAAAAAGAATGTTGTACGTTAGATAAAAAGGTTAAAGAGATCCTATATATCCATATTCTTTTTCTCCCAATTTAATAATACAGTACTGTTGAAACGATCATATTCTTCTTGGATGTGAACTATATGTGAACCGTACCTGAAATATATGTGGAAAGAATTCTTTAAAATAAATTATTCAGCGAAGTTTCTTCGCAGTATTACGGACTTAATGATTTCATGTTTTTATGTGTATATTTTTTTTGGCATTATGCTTATTTTTATAAAATATGAGAATTTGTTTTTATCGTCTCGTAACTAACTATTTATGTTGTTGCTTATTAATATTTTTTTCGTACACTTTTTAAAACTATTTTCGCTCTAGTGTTACGTTACGTTACAAAGTACGTTAAATATAAAGACAAACTGAATACAAAACTATCTAAAGAAAAACGTTTAACACAATAGAGGACTTTATTCTGATGATTATTGCAATTTTCTTAAAAAATGTTTGAAAAAAGGAAATAGGAAATAGGAAAAGTTAAACTCCGGCTCTGGAAAATTTTTATTTATTCAATAGAGAGCACCAACATTCTAAGTTACAGAATGGATATGCCTTGGTGTCCGTTTTATTACCCAGTTTAATAGACCACGATTTTATCTATTGCATTAGATTAAAATTGGGTGACCCTGGAATTCATAGAAAAACTGAAAGGAAGGTGGAAGATAATCGCAAATTACGAAACAGAAAAACAAAGTGAATAATTTAAAAGAAAATGAAAACAAAATTAGGGGAACTATTAAAACACAAGAAAGATGTGGAAAGTTTTATGTAATCTATGTGGTAGGATAGGGCAGAAGTAACAAAAAATACATGTAATAAGAATTAGTGAAGGGTGTACTATAGAAGTGAAACATACCATAGCCTAAATTTAGCACTAGAGATATCTGATAAATTAACTAGCAATTTTATAGAGGAAGAAACAAGAGATACAATATTTTTGAAAAACATTCTTAAAGATCTAAAAAATCACAGTGCCCCAAATGAAGACAATATAACAAAAAAATATGTTGTGAATAACTGTTTCATTCCATTGCGGATAAAATAGTAAAGAAAAAAAATCTGTCCCACAGACGTAAGTAATTATAGACCAATATCGGCCCTAAGTTCCTTCTCTTTCTCTTTATAGAGTTATTTATAGAATTCAATTCAAATTTGACCTACAACAATTCGACTTACAACAAAATCATAGCAGTACATATTAGAAATCTCTAAAGAAAAAGCTTTACAAGATGGGAGTCCGAGGTACAGCATATAGATTGTTAGAATCTGGAATCTTAGAATGAATAGAAAATATTTCATATTTGCCGATGGTACTGCACTTTGTTTTCTTCAAAAAATATTCAAGAGCTAAAGCTAAGGTTAAAGCTAGGGCTAAACTAGGAGGCGATATAAATATATATTTAAATAATGTTTAATTTAAAGAAGTTAGTTAATATACTCATTTGGGCTTAGTAATCACGATGAATTTCAGTTACAACACACTTATAAACAACATTGTTAAAAAGGTTGTCCCAATAGTGGTGGCAATAGGAAGATGTAATATTGTATAACTGTTATATTATACCACATTTACGTTGCTTGATTCCCTAAAGGAAATCCAAAGAATACAAAACAAAATTATTATACACCCACCGAAGAAGTGTACCAGACAACATCTTGATGGGGCATACAGAAGTTATTTGAGCAAATAAAGTTGTTGTGGATGCTGTATTCACAATGTAACTCTCAAATAAAATCTAACTACCCAATGAGTAACCAGCTTCCATGCGAGCCCTTAAATACCCATTTACTAGAACTGCAAAAGCGCAAAACTCTCTACTAGTTAGAGGTACGCGGACTCTTTAAATCTCGTGGGGTCACAAAGGACTCTTCAATTTTTAATTGATGGTGGTAATTATTTAAACGTAATTTGTGATTTTTTAATTTTTCATGAATGTACAACACCTTCATTTTTATATAAACAAAAACAAACGTTCACTAGAATAAAAAAAAATATTGGAACAAAAAGTCTATTCTCTGGAAATAGGATTCTCATAATAATATCTTCACCTGTAACAGAAGAAAAAGATATTCAAATCTCAAGCAAAAGAAAAGGACACTCATGTTTTTGACATAATTTTTGAAAATATGATTGCAATAGAAATTGATTTTTTATATAGTGCTTATCTTCTTGGCATGAAGTACAGGTGATTTGTAGTGAATGAGTTTTGCAGATTGTCCTATGACGTTATGAGCAAATATTGCAGAATGTTTGGCATCTTTAGCCCTGGGACACAAGTAGAATCTACGCCTTACAACAGGACCTTCTCGTCTAGGCTGATCATCACGAATACTTTCAGATCCTAATGCAAATCTTATTTTCAAATGCTCATTGATAAGACTCATTCCTAGCTCTTTGACATTTTTTGGTCAAGGGCATCGACACCTCTTTTCGTCTCATTATAAAATATTATTATCTTAGGTTTTTTAGTTTCCTGATTAACAGAGTTGTCGTGGTGCATGGTGAACAACATGATCACAATTTGATTTTTTTTAGGGATATATGATTCAATTATGTTGTCTCGAGTACAACCAAATAGACACTTATCAACTTCGTAGTTTTTATGGAGTTGAAATTGTCGACGAATTACCCTCTTGTTTTTACACATGGTTCCTACGTATGTAAGTCCAAGTTTATCACCAGTGACAAGGACAGCTTCAGAGGATTTGGTTCATTGGTTTTGCCTGTATACACGAAAGCATTTACTAAATAACGTGTCTTGGAATCACATAGACACATAATCTTAATGCCGTACTTGACTGGTTTAGCTTTTATATACATCCTAAAAGGGCATCTGCCCCTAAAAACAACCGACATCTCATCGATTGTGACATATTCGGAACTTCGGAATTATCAAATCTAATGGCAGTGAGAAGAAATAAGCAGCGTTCCTTTGACCTTGTTGCCCGAAAAATTGGTCTGCCTAAGCAATGTGTTGAAGAGAGTGATTCTACATCCTCGTGATTGGATTTGAATAAACCAGAGAGAAATAAAATATCCAAAAAGGCATATTAATAACATATTAGGGGTTGTCAATTGGACTAGATGGTTTTGATTGTAAGGCAGGTCCACGAAATGCCGGAGGATTTTTAGCACACTTAAATTTGTTTCGTCCGTAATAATAATTCTTCATCAGATGTTGATTCAACTTCGTCGCTTATGTAATCTGCGTCACTTAGATGGATTTCTGAGGCTGTATCATGTTCAGAGTGTTTACTTTCATTTCTGTATCACGGTTACCTATTATCCTCAACATTCTCAGGTGGGTCCTTTAAAGAGTCTAGAAAGTTGTACACATTGTTCGATGTCACTGTGACACCGCCAGTTTGAACATTATCACTATTAGAAGCCATTCTGACTGAACTAAAATTAACGCAACTACTATAGCGTGGTCAAATTAAACCCCCAATAGCAAATAGCAAATTGCAAATTGTTCGGAAAGTCATTTCGTTTTTTCCCGTCAGAGGACTTAATTACGTTTTTTCGAAACCAACTTCACACTTAAGCCGCATAACCATTATATGTCTTGAGAGCTGATATTGCAAGGCGGGTGTGTGAAAAAGTTCTATTAATTCTACGCAGTAGTTTTTGGTTGGTGCCCTTTTAAATATGGAGAGCAATAAGCAGCATTTTCGTCATATTTTACTTTTTTACTTCAGAAAAGGTAAAAATGCTGTCCAAGCGAGAAAAAAATTGACGGATGTGTATGGAGAAGGCGTGTTAACAGTACGCCAGTGCCAGAACTGGTTTGCAAAATTTCGATCCGGCAATTTTGATGTCGAAGATGCACCACGGTCTGGAAGGCCGGTCGAAGCTGACAAAGATGCGATAAAGGCATTAGTTGATGCAAATCGGCGAATAACCACACGAGAGATCGGTGAGAGATTAAATTTGTCGAATTCGACTGTTTATGGCCATTTGAAAGGCATGGGCTTAACCTCGAAGCTCGATGTGTGGGTGCCCCATGTCCTTACGGAGCGAAATTTGTGTCGTCGCGTTGACGTGTGTGATTCGCTCCTCAAACGTCAAGAAAATGATCCATTTTTGAAGCGGATTATTACTGGGGACGAAAAATGGGTTGTATACAACAATGTTAAACGCAAGAGGTCATGGAGCAGAAAAGATGAACCGGCTCAAAGCGTGTCAAAAGCCAACATTCACCAAAAAAAGGTGATGCTCTCCGTTTGGTGGGATGTCAAAGGAATCGTTTTTTTTTTAGCTTTTGCCGGACAATACAACGATTAATTCAGAAGTCTATTGTCATCAACTGGACAAATTGAATGATTCACTTAAAGAGAAGAGGCCCGAATTAATCAACAGGAAGGGATAATGCGAGACCTCACACAAGTTTGGTCACTCGCCAAAAACTTTTACAGCTTGAATGGGACGTACTGCAACATCCACCATATTCTCCAGATCTGGCGCCTTCCGACTACTATTTGTTCCGGTCCCTGCAAAATTTTTTGGATGGCAAAACCTTTACCTCAAATGAAGATGTCAAAAACCACCTGAACCAGTTTTTTGCCAGCAAGGACCAAAACTTTTATGAGAGGGGGATTATGTTACTGCCAGAAAGATGGCAAAAGGTGTTGGACCAGAATGGCCAATATATAATTTAATAAAATATTTAGTCATTATACGAAAACTGTCTTTCATGTTCCCCAAA